TTTGCATAGACATCTGTGTCAGATGTCTTGCAAATCGCACCTGAAATCAGCATGTCCCCCGACTTTCAAATCGTGCGACTTCGTTGTAAGTCGCACAATTTCAAAGTTGGGCTTGATGTGACCGGGATGTTAGGGTCTCACAAGTCGGATCCCAAGTCACGGCAGTGTGAACTGAGCCTTATAGGCAAAATGTTTAAATCAGTACTTTCCAAATAAAACTAGGACAGTTGTTGACCTTTTGTAATTAGGTCCCTAAATATCAGTGCTACAAAAAAGTTCATTATGGAAGCATTTATGTAACTTGGTGGCTCCAGTTAAATGTTGAAAAAATGTAAAATATTTTTAGAGGCCTTGGGATTGAAAATCTGGTGCAGCTGTGCATAGCAGCCAATCAGCTTCTAACTTCAGCTTGCTCAATTAAGCTTTGACAATCAAACCTGGAAGCTGATTGGTTTCTATACAGAAGTGCACCTGATTTTGCACTCTCCATTTAGTAAATCAGCCCCATTACATCTAATTTGAAGCTTTTTTGAACAGCTATGGAGTACTACTTACATTTTTTGGGATCCTGTATCATTATAAGGAATGAGAATTAGTAAAGTTTTCTTATAAAAAGCAATATAAAGATTTTATAGATAGAAAGCACCGTGTTTGTCTTTTGACACTTTTTTCCTTGAAAAACTGTAAGGAAACAAAACTAAAACACTGACCATGACTTTGGCAGCTAATAAGGTGAGAATGTGTAGACACAGCCAAGAACCTAAGGTTTTCTGCACAGGCACAAAGAATGACATAATTGTGTCATCTCTGGAACAATATCTTAGACCCGGATGTGGATGTAAGCTGGATCTCCAAAATATGACCACAGGCCATAACTGGCCTGCTGTCGGATTTTACCTAGGGAGGGGAACTTCTGATAATAAAGAGGGACTCTGAAGTGAAGGGAGGACTCTGATGTCAAAGGGTAGACTCTGATGTCAAAGTGGGGCTCTGATGTGATGGGGGGAATCTAATGGAAAAGGGGGGGGGACTGCTGATTAGAAGTTATTTCTTGGAGCATGTCTATTCTTTCATTTAATTTTTAATCATTAGTTTGTGAAACTTTTCAGCCTGCAAATATTTCAAAATATACAACATGGCCCTTGTTCTGAAAACAATGGAGGACCCTGCTCTGCATGATTGGCTGAATAAACATGGATTTGGTTTTTTGGCAAGACAGGGAGATAGAGTTATTAATGTGATCTCATGAGAGGGAATTGATTGGCCGTGAACTTTTCGACCACTCGATTGGCTTGGCCAGAATAGTGCAGCTCTCAGCACAGAGCCGTGCCGTGTATGTACGCTGAGCTGTGCCTGTGCAGTTCACTGTACAGGCAGGGAGAAGCAAGTACAAAAGGGTCTCTTCAGTAATAAAAACTCAATCTGACAGGAGTTTCTTCATTTTTTACTTCAGTTTTTACCACTTGCCTACCAGGCACGTTTACCCCTTCCTGCCAAGGCCAATTTTCAGCTTTCAGCGCTGTCACACTTTGAATGACAACTGTGCGGTCATGCAACACTATACCCATATGACATTTTTATAATTTTCTTCACACAAGTAGAACTTTATTTTGGTGCTATTTAATCACCACTGGGTATTTTATTATTTGTAAACAAAATTTTGAAAAAAAGTTTTTCTTTGTTTCTATTACAAAATTTTGCGAACAGGTAATTTTTCTCCTTCACTGATGTGCGATGATAAAGCTTCACTGATGGGAACTGATAGGCAGCACTGATGGGCATTGATGAGGGGGCCCTGATAGATAGAACTGATGCGGTGGCACTGGTGGACATTGATGAAGAGGCACTGATATGCGACAATGATGGGCACTGATAGGCGGCAGTGATGGGCACTAATGGGCAACACTGAAGGGCACTGACATGTTGCACTGACTGGCAGCACTGCTGGGCACAGATTGGCAGCACTTCTGGGCAGATTGGCAGCACTGTTGGGCATTGATGGGCACTTTTTCCGCTGCACTAATAATTGGGACACTGATAATTTGTGCCCTGATTATCAGTGTAGATATCTCTATTCTCTATTCAGCAGTACTTTCCTTCTGTGAACTACTAATCTCCCCATTCCCCATAAAATTAGATGAACAGGATAGACGATTGATGACAATCCTGGGCGGCTATCATGGCTTCCCCTATAGATATAGTTTAAAGCAGAACTCCAGGCAAACACTTCTTTACATGTCCTTGTTGCTGATTTCCTACCTTCACTGAATATGTCATCCATCTTGCGGTTCACTCAGTTGTTGATCTGAAATAGTCTATTCATTTTCAAATCAAGCCTTTTGGTTTCCGGTTTGTAAGACCAGTGGCTGCTATGCCACCTATTCCCTCAGCCACTGGTCTTGGCGCATCCCTTCTGTAGTTCTTTCTCCAAGAAGCAGGGAGGTTATTTAGCCCCACCTGCAGTGGTGGGCAGACCGAGGCTGTCAGACACATTCAGCATGTACAGGCCTAGTGTACCCGCCCACATTCACTACAATCCATTGTGGTTGATGGGAACTGTAGTTTCCTTTTACTGCAGAGAGAGAAGAGAGGATATGATGTAATCCATGCTGTTATACCTCCTCCTTGGCAGAGCAGATGTTGTTATCTTTTGGATTACAGAGATCAGGTCATGAATATTCAATTAGAATTTTCTCCTAAATGGTAAGGATTTTCAAAATTTTACCAACTGTTTAGTGTTTTGTGTAGAAGAGTATACTAATGGGTGAATTTTTGTGCCTATCCTGGAGTTCTTCTTTAGGCGTGGTTCACACCTGTCTGTTTTAGGTGTGGTGCCTTAAAAAAATGTCCAGCATGCTGTATCTTTGATGCACTTTCAGTAAAATGTGCAAGTTCAATTGTAATGCATCTAAAATACATGTAAAACTTGCCAAAAATGCACCACACAGATGTGAACCAGTCCTAAGAGTGAGGAGGAGTGTAATGTGCAGGAAATATGATATGAAAAGAAGGGAAAAAGGAGCCTGAAAAAAGGAAAACTAATGCAGTTACCATACCTAAGGACTAGCATTAGTGGTTGCTTTTGGCTTTGGATTTTTACTACTGCTAAATTTTCATAAATCAGCACCACTAATGCACTAGCTTCAAAGGATAAAATCATTTATATATGAACTGCCTGCAAACTTCAGTTTAACCGTTTTCTTAACTCGTTCTAAAAGGATTATGTTCTTTTCTGCCATTCTTACATGCTCTTGTCTGTATCTATTCTGTTCATCTAAGTGGCTTTGTGTTGCTCTCAGTGTGCTTGAGCACACCACAGGCAATGCAGAATGCAATAGCTTTTCCTATAATTTTATAGAATGATAAAAAAAAACTGGCATAAAATGCCCGCTTGGTAATTGTTAAGTTAGAATGTGCAGAAATCAGCCGTCTTCACAAAAAAAATAGATTTTGCCCAGCAGGTAACAGAGCTTAATGAGAGTTGCCTATTTATTTTTTTTACCTCTTGTTGAGATGTATAGGCTTTGGGCAATCTGTTCATACAACTATTTCTAAGAGGGGTCAATGTAACTGTATATGAGTATTTTTGGTCCTGCTGTTTAGGAGAAGGTATAATGGTCTGCCTCAGGGCTCAGCATACCCCAGGAACCTAGTAGTCAATGTTCCTAAAAAATTAGTTCTCATGACAAGGTATTTTTGATCTTTTTCTCTCATTTCTTAAAACAGAAGATATCACCTGGTCCCTTTCATGGACTTGTTGGCTATCAAACTGAACTAACTGGCTCATGAACCATACATCAATCAGCCACCACTGGTCTACCTGACGGTAGCTGGTCAGTATAGAAATATGGGATCAGCCATTGCCAATTTGTGTTAGGGTGCCTACTTCACCGTCTCACTTTTTTGTTTGTCACAGACCTCAAACAATTGTAGTGAAAAATAAACATGACACCACTAGCATTTACACCTTAAGCTAACAAGTCAATGGCAGCTCCCATAGTTCTGTCCTGAAATGCTTCTTTTACATACCCAAGCTACAGATCTATTACTCTAGAACAGGGGTCTCCAAACTTTCAGGGCTAGTTTACTGTCCTTCAGGCTTTAGGGAGACCAGACTGTGGACAGTGGGAGTATAAAATGCCCCAACGTCAGTGAGAGTAAACAATGTCCCATCATTGGTTTTAGTGGGAGGAATGGTGCTCCATTGTTATTATCAGTGGGGGATTGTGCCCCATTGTTGGTGTCAGTGGAAGAAATAGTGCCCCGAGGGTTGGATAGAGGCAGGCAAAGGGGCACATCCGGCACCCGGGCCACAATTTGGAGATCACTGCTCAAACACAATACAGTGTATATCTTAAAGCAGGGGTGGACAACTGTGGCCCTCCATCTGTTGGTGAACTACACGTCCCATCATGCCTCTGCCTTTAGGAGTCATGCTTGTAACTGTCAGTTTTGCAGTGCCTCATGGGACTTGTAGTTCTACAACAGCTGGAGGGCCACAGTTGCCCACCCCTGTCCTAAATGATTAGAGTGACCTCCTCTGTTTTAGTCACTAGGTCTACAAAAGACCATTGTACATACCTTATGGAACCAACTGAAATGAAAACTCAAATCGCATTGTAGGTTTTGGTTCTTTAAGCGTAAAAAACACCTTTAAAAATATTGCTGTGGGTTAATTGCAAGTAGATGCATGTTTTCTCATTAGAGCTGGTTATACACAATTTAAAGTGTTGCTGGAAATAAAAGTAAAAAAAAACTTCCATAAAAGTAAAGGAGTTGAATCTTCACTTCGAGGTGTGCCAAGTTCCAGCATCCTCCGATGTACTCTTTGGTTCCTCCAAAGTACCCTCAGTCACTACAGGACAGAAAATCCTTCTGGAGATGTACCATAATGTTACTGTTCAAAGCTGGGGTGGACTGACCATTCGAGCATTCGGGCACTGCCCGAGGGCCCGGGGTCAGTAAGGGGCCCCATGAAATGCCCCTGGTACCTTTTATAGGCTTTTTTGGGTGTACTTTGAGTGTGGGCAAGGACAGAGGGGCCCCATGATCCCCTATTGCCCGGGGGCCCCATGAGTTGTCAGTCCGCCCCTGGTTCAAAGCTTTTTTTGTAGTCATTGGGGGTTATTTACTAAAGCTGGAGAGTGCAAAATCAAGTTCACTTCTGTATAGAAACCAATCAGCTTCCAGGTTTTATTGCCAAAGCTTAACTGAACAAGCTGAAGTTAGAAGCTGATTGGCTCCCATGCACAGCTGCACCAGACTCTGAGTGCTCCAGTTTTAGATTTAGGGACAGCCTGTAAGGTCAAATGGAATTTAAATAACAAGGTGCAAATGTGTAGTAGCCTATAACAGCAAAACAGAAATCTATTTTAAAATGCAATGCCAGCCATATATTTTTATATTTCCTGGAAAAATTATCAGTTGTTTTGAAATCTGCGCCACTTGAAGATTATTTTCCTTTGAGTGGAATGTTTGGTTTAATTTAACTTGGTGATCTTTTAAATCCCTTGCCAGACTCATAGGCATCCACAAGTTTTTCTGAGGGTCCTAGAGAGCTCTATATGGCCTGGCAGTACTAGGGTCGTTAATCAAAATCCCAGCAATGGCACCACCTGCCTGGAGTTTGCATGTTCAACCTGTGCCTGCGTGGGTTTCCTCCGGGTACTCCGGTTTCCTCCAACACTCCAAAGACATGTTGGTAGGTTAATTGGATCCTGTCTAAATTGGCCCTAGTAGGTGTATGTATGAATGTAAATAAGGTACCTTAGATTGTTCGCCCCTTGAGGGTTAGGGACTGATGTGAATGTACAATATATGTGTGTGTAAAGAGCTGCGTAAATTGACGGTGCTATACAAGTACCTGCAATAATAATGTAATAATAATAATAATAATAATATTGTTTTGGATGGAGCCTTTGTCAGGTTTTTTGTGTCCATGTTTGGGAGATAACTTTCTGTACAGACAAGGGAGTGAAAGGGAATCTCTCCAAATGGGGAAATCTTTCAGTCATGTTCCAGTAATAACTGCTCCCCCAATTTCTTTTTCTGGTGTTACAGAGACAGAGACAGAAAAGTGAGAAAATCACCTCAATGACTGTCAGGGATCCGGGTATGACCAGAAATGTGTGGACTGACACAGGGAAGTAACAGGCTTCAGGAATAATATAATAATATAATTTATTATTAGTTACCCAAATATACAACGCTCAGTAAATAAACCAACCTTCCACTAATCTTAGTATGTGCAGGAACACAGGCGCAGTCAGGGCTGGAGAGGTGGAAGGGTCAGGCCGGCCATATGGTTCTGTTAACGACCGTCTGGTGATACCCCTAGCAGTCCTCAGGACAGGATTCACCAGGGCCCCTGATGGTGGGGATGGACTTGGAGCAGACAGGAACCAGGTCGCGGCCCCTGAGTACACCTGCTCGTGGTAGAGGGATCCACCAGAGGTATGTGCAGGTAGGAAGCCTGATGTGAAGAGGTAGAAGGTGTGAGCAGGGATGGCTGGATCCGTGCAGGATGGATGGATCGTCTGGGTAGCGTAAGGCGTAGTCAGGCAGGCCAGGTCAGCACGCGCGGGCAGCGAGGTACCGAAGGAGCAAGCAGAGAATAGTCAGGGTCACAAGCCGGGTTCAGGAACTCACGGGCAGTGCGGTACAGAGGATCAGGCAGAGAATGGTCAGGGTCACAAGCCGGGTTCAGTAACTCACGGGCAGCACGGTACAGAGGATCAGGCAGAAGGATGGTCAGGCAAGCCCGGGGTTAAACAGGAGACGGTCAGCAGGGTCAGGAACAATGCAGAGTCGGCAACAAATCAGATAGGCAGAGGAACAGGAACACAGGGAACAGGGGCTCATGAGAAACATACACCAAGGCACTGATCACAGGCGTGGTCATTCCTTAAATACACCTCCTGCAATCAGCCCCAGGTGTTGGCTGACTGCAGGAGTGAGCTTCTGGCTGCTGAGAGAACCCGCTGGTCAGCCCTGGTACTGCAGCCCACACGGCAGGTGAGTCCCACCACCAGTGCTGAGTCCATTCCTGACAATGACATTACAGACAGAAATGAAATCTTGACTTACGGAATAACCAAACCTAAGGAATAGGCTTTAAGCAGAAAATGGTGGACATGGCTGACTGCATACTACTACAGTTAGGACTGACACCCCTGGCAGGTGACATAGGCTCACCTAAGACAAGGAGTGTAAGTGACAACTTGCTGTTCACCAGTGCACCCCACAAGGTGTGATGGGCCCATGACCCTAGTGGCCCCTAGGCTACTTTGCCTCAAGATGACACCAGGTTGCTGCCCTCAAGATTGTCCCACCAAGGGGTTACACCATGGGGTTAAGGTAGTGATATAGCGGAAGTTCAGACTTTGAGCGGAGGTTGGAGCAGGCAGCAGGCAAGAGCATAGTCAGTGTCCAAGCTGAGGTCGTGGCAGGGAGCAGGCAAGAGGATATCAGGAGAGTTGGCACTGGGGGCAGGGGACAGAAGCAGAGTCAGGAATTCTGGGTTAGTAGCTTGCAAGACAGAGCAACGGTAATCCCACACACTAGGTAGCTGGCAAGAAGACGCAGCACTGGCTACCATAAGGGAAATTGTTTAGGTACATTTCTGGCCTTAGTGCAAGCCTAGCTTCAGGGATGCAGGTCATTGCATGCAAACAAGCTCACAACCAGCCAATGCCAAAAGGCAAAGAACCATGCAAAACGCTACAAACAGATAGGATGGACCAAGCCACTGGCTCAAACATAGACCCATGAGGTGCTGTTATAGGACCATGTTATTAAAGTGGTACTCAACTCCCCACAATGCTGTTTTCTTTTTCTTTCTTACCCATAGTGCTGTGTTCTCTTCAAAACACATACTTAGTGGTTAGGGATGTACCGAAATTTCGGTGGCCGAAATGTTTCGGCCATCAGCGGATATAAAAAAAAGCAATGATACAGGTGGCGGAAAAACCCCGCCCCTCGGCACCGCCCACACCCACTGCTGATGCCTCCCGTCCGCCGCTGCCGCTCGGTAGTTCTCAGCCTTACCTGCGAAACCATCGAACAATCCTGGTGCTGGGCATAGAGATCAGTGAAGGAAAGATGGCCTCCACTCATCTCTATGCCCTTGGAGGACCGGAGCAATGTCACTTTCGGTTTCGGACATTTTTTTTTTTTAAAGCACTAGATCAATGCTTTTTTTTAACTAATGCTTTACATTTCACAGGAGAGATGTGGGGTCTTATTAACCCCAGATCTCTCCATAAAGAGGACCTGTCGCTAATTATTTATATCACAAGGGATGCATGCATTTCTTGTGATAAAAATAAAAGTGATTAAGATTTTTTTTAAAGGGACAGTGCAAAAAAAAATAAAAAATAAAAAAAAAAGTTTAAAGTGCCCTGTCCCCCCATGCTCGCCTGTAGTGAACGCATACTTAGGCCATGCCCACATGTAAATGGTGTTCAAACCACACACGTGAGGTATTGCCACGAATGTCAGATCAAGAGCAATAATTCTAGCACTAGACTTCCTCTGTAAACTTACACTACTAGCCTGCAGAAATTTTTAAAGCATCTCCCATCTCAGCATAGAAACACAATGAAAACTGAGCATGTGCAGTAGCTGCCAACACTACCCTGTAAAATCCCTATCTGCACTGGGGACATGGAGAGACGGGGGAGATAGAGAACAGCAGGATCAACCAGGTTTTTTGCAGAATACAGAAAATGAATCCCGTGGTGACTGAGTAAGTATGAGCAGAATATTATACATCATTTTATAATGTGGGTTTAGTGACACTGTGCACTGAATCCCACTGCAGACCACTGCTCAAGTGACATACACCGGGTCCTGTGCCCCCATCTTAGTCCTCTTCACCCGGCAGCCTCTTTTGGGTGCAGGCAGCCTGCTACCAGTGGTGCACCTGGCCCGCCCCGTTCGCTTTGTATGCCTGATCCTGCAGCATCCTCGGAGATCTGATGTAAGTATCCCAGGAGGCTGCTGGACCCGTGTCACATAATTCTGACTTATGCCAGAATGGAGATGGAGGGTGGGGCAAAATAAAATAAAAAAAAATGCAGTTCTGCTTTGGGGGGAGGGGTAAAGTTAAACTTTAAACAACCCCAATAGCCAGATCACTAGAAATAACTTTAAGTCGGAATATGTGGTCACACAAAGAAATGGCTACACTGTAAAAATTCCAGCAGCCTTTGCACAAATGTAATTTATATTTCTACGTTGTATATATAAACACATTAGGTACATAGTCACATGATATTGTGATTTACAGTCACGGCTGTCCTTTAGCCCCGTCTGATGGTGAAAACATTTCACAGCTTTACCCAGAAACCACATTCTGAACTTTAGTGCTCTGTATCCTAATATAAAGAGCTAGTGATGACATTTTAATTTTCCAGATTGTCTTTTGGAGTTAAAACAAAAATGTTCTTAATTTGAAAACTTTACAAACAAAAAAAAGATTCAATCTGGCCAGACAAGCACTGCCTGCCGCAGTAGGCTTCTTCAGATGAGGTTATTTCCCATGGTCTGGCTTCCTTTGTTTTGAAAGCCATTGATCTCTTGAAATAAAAACTCTTTGATGCTGTTCTGCTTTTATCCTTCACTCAATTCTAACAACATATGTTCATTAGAATTCTGCCCCTTTCTAGAAATAAACTCTTGAATACTTATTTTAATATCTTTTATGGAATGACATCAAATATTATTTTTTATTTTAGATATGTAATATTCAGTACAGCTAAACATGTACCAAGGCAGGACGGAAGCTTTCCTTCTGAAATAACAATTCATGGTAAGGCAATGGGTTAAAGCAAAACTAAACTCTAGTTTAACCACTTGCTTCCCAAGCCTATTCTGACACTTCTCTCCTACATGTAAAAATCAGCTTTTTTTTTTTTGCTAGAAAATTACTTAGAACCACAAAGCGTTATATTTGTTTTAAGCAGAGGCCCTAGAGAATAAAATGGTGAGTGCTGCAATTTTGTTTTTTTTTAATCGGAAAAAGATACATTTTATTTAAAAAAAATCAGTTCAATAAAATATCTATTTCAGTCC